CTTATTCTGTTCTTGGGTGTTTGATTGTGTTGCTGATTGGTTTGATTCTGGGCATTGGACCATTAAAACCTCAACATTTATAACATTTGATCCAAAGTACAGATGATACTTTACACCTCAAGATCAGATGATCCCTGTCTTGGATGTGTTCATTGCAAAAACAGCAAACTAGCTTAGAGTATTGCTTAATGATATCTATCTTGAAAAGATTTGATTTTGTGGGAAGTCCACCTTGGAGCATGAGCCATACGAAGCCACAAATCTTGAATGGCACAATTTTGTTCCATATTCTGTCTACCTCAAGATGAATGGTGCTATCCTGGCAGGAGGACAGTAGATGATAGCCTGATTTAGATAAATATTGCCCTCCTTTGTATGCGTCTATATCCAGTGATCTTTTCCGCCCTGAAGCATTGTGACCTTCTGCAATATTTGGAAAAGTTGGTCTCATGCCTTGCATTCCCAATCGTAAAACTTGTGTCTCCATGGGATGTTCCAACACCAGTGACCACCTTGCCAGCTTCCCATTTGACTAACCTTATTATCTGTACTTGTAGATAACAAATAAAGCCCTAAGAATTTGTTAGCTAAGACACCCTCTCATTACACCAACTATCCTTCCAGAAGTTCACATCACTTCCATTGCCAATTTTATTTCAAACCTCTAGATAGCCACCCTCTATTACCATCATCTAGAACATCAATCCTACAAGTATCTCTCCACCAATTTGAACCTCTTTCTCTTCCTTCCCTAATCCAAGTTACCCAATTCTCAAACTCCCTCCCATATTTTTCTTTGATAAGTTTAAACCATAGACTATTAATTTTCTCCTTTAGCTAATTTGGTCCACCACTTACCCAGTAAAGCTAAATTGAATTTTTTTACATTTTTTATCCCAAGGCCTTCCTCTTGCTTACTCTTACACACCCTATCCCAACTGACCCAATGAACCTTTTTCTCCTTATCACACCCGCCCCATAAAAATTCTCTCCTAAACTTATCAATGATTTCCAGTTCATATCTGCCAAATGATTAGCATCAGCTCTAAACAAATTTTACCCATATTTTGACAGAATATGTTCTGATTATGAAGTTACAGTTATCTAGATTATCAAATGATTAGGGATTGAAAATAGCTTTGGTAATGATCCCTATAATTTTGGCGTGGATTCAAACAAAGACGGAATCGTGGATCTTGTTTTGGAGTATTCGTTGGTATTGATCTTTTGTAATTTGCCTTAAATTGTTTTCTTTGGAAAGCTACGATGCTTGGCTTTATATAACCAATTTTTCTTGGGTGAAAAAAAATTGGAGATTACTTGTTTGCTTTTTTTTTTTTGGACCAGGGAAATTGTTGTTAGAGTGTTAGTATCTGTTGTAATTAGGGTGGCTCGAACTGAAGATGGTGCTTATCCACTGGCTGCCCATATGGGCAGCAGTGGCCGTTAAGCCACATCAGTGGAATGCGGAGATTACTTGTTTGCTTTTGTGTCGTTGTTGAATGCTTATTAGTTGATGGATGCCGTAACTATGATAGGAGTTCCTAGAGCATGATGAGAGATTGAATCATAATAAAAATTAGTAATGAATGAAGCGGAGTATGTTATGAACAAAAACATTCAAATATTAACAACAGGAGAGAGAGTGGAAAAGTAAGGATAAAAGAGATATATAATGACAAATTGAGATATGAGGAAGAATGCCTTGTTTTACAACCCTTATTTTATAATTTGGATTGTACCAGATTATAAAACAAAGGTCATTTGATGGAGGTGAAATCCTCAATATTAAAGGATTCACTCTTATTTAATAGTTAGAATCTACATTGCACAATATTTTTTCTTACAAAGAATGATTAAAAAATAATAATATAGAAAGATAACTTTAAAAGGTGAAAGAATATATATACATATATATGGAAAATGATGTGTGCACACCCGGATTCAACACCTGGGTGTGCACACCCCCCATAAAAAGAAAAAAGGATCTAGGTGCATACCATTTTTTTTTTTTATGTGGGGGCGCACACCCGGGTGTTGGGTCCAGGTGTGTACCAATCATGATCTTATATATATATATATATATATATAACTACTAATATAGAGAGGAAAAGAGAGGAGGGAAGCAAAGAGATAGAGTTCCAAATAATAATAATAATAATAATGATAGTTCCGAAAGAAACAATGATAGAAGTAAAGGCAAGTGAAAAAGTATTAGAAGAATAATACTAAGTTACATCTTTTATATTTTGACATAAATCTTTTCTAATAAAAATATATTAAATAGAAAAAAAAATGTTGATAGATTGAGATAACTAGAATACTTAATAAAGAATGATAGAGATGGGAGTATAATAAAAGAAAGAATAATATGTATGGTAGAGAATTAAATGTAATGATATAAAATGTTTAGGAGGAAACCAAGCGATGGAGTCTCAACAAAAATTAATGAAAGATAGACTGATGGTAGCAAATACTAATTGGTATATATTTTGGTTTAACACGTGCATAACATACTCATTAAAACATCATTGTTTTCTTAGTTGAAATTAAAAATAGATAAATTTAAAGATGTAGCCTTGCTTACAGATACAAAAATTGGTCGAATCAGGTTGTACTTTTTCTTTTTTTGGTATTAACTTTTCGATATCCAGTAACTATATTGGATCTCGATTAATTAGACTGTACTTATATTATATTGTAATAATTAAACAAGATGAGTGTTAGAAAGTGTGTTGAACAAAGTATATATCAATCATTTTCAAAAGCAAGTGAAAAATTAAGTACCAAGAAAATAATGTTGAGTCTTGCTTTTTATGTTTTGAGTTTAAAACATTTCTAATATATAAAGGGAGAGATAGGAAGACAAATGGGATAAAAAAGATCCATAATAATAGAAAGATATATATATATATATAT